TATATATATATATATATATATATATATATATATATATATATATATATAATGTATAACGAGATGTAAGATCCACATCGATCATCTTTTGATACAAAGATTGTTGACAACAGCGAAAATCTAACGGAGATTAAAAAAAAAAAAAAAAGTCCGGACTCAACATGGGGTATGAGACTCGCGGCAGTTTTGGGTCTCGGGAGGATCAAAAGGGGCTTTTTGATAAAAGCTAACGGAGATCTCAAGAAAAATCATTCCCAACTACAACACTTTAATGCTTTTGCAATATAAAGGAAGACAAATTCTAAAAACGGCCAGGAATGTAATATTTAAAACAAGCACTCGAATCAATGACTCACGAGTGTGAATGGATGGTGTCGATGGTGCCACAGTGAAGTTTAATCTACTGATCACATGATAGGTGTGCAACTCAGAAGAGTCTTTAACTCCCACAAAATCAACATACTTGGATGCCAAATACCAAGACAACTCATGAAGCACGGAACTCAAAACGTTACATATTTGACATTTGACGGGAGAAGATTAATATATCTATACATTTGTGCCATATGGAAATAATGAAAAGAATAATCATCCTTCCGACCGTACCGACAAAATTAAGACAGCAATGATCTGCTTGCCTGAATTTCCACATCATCATCGCTGTTATCATCTATTGAAGGGCTGCTCCATCTACTGTTTCTCAGAGGAATGAATTTTGTTCGATCGAAAGTTGTTTCTCTGAAACCTGTTGTCCTTGAAGAAACCATAGGCATTACGAGTACTGAAGATGCACTTATTGACTCCTCGCCAAGACCCAGCGAGAGAGAACCAGCAGCCTGCAAGGGTAATATTAGAAAAATTATATCAGCCCATCTTACCAAAGGAAAAAAGAATATATATACCCCCGTGTAAAAAATCAAAGTACCTTTGCCTTCAACAGGATAATCTTTGCCTTGCTAAGCGCTGCTTGTGCAAATGAACCCACATCATTTATTTCAGGTTCTTCCGTTGGCAGCTTGGCAAGCCTGCAGTTTGGATAATAATCATTATATCAGCTAGACTGACTTCAATACACATCATCATTAATTGGTAGCTTAAAAAGGCAACCATCTTAACATAGAAAACATGTGACCGGCACGAGACAAATCCAACATGTATTAACATACTTGAGATTGTGCAAATAAGAACAATAGAGGAGTCATTGCATATTGCATACCCTTCAACCTATGTGTAATTTTGTGTATGCCAAATTAAATTCTATATATCATGAATTCCCCTGTGACATTGACAAGCTCCTACATATACTCGTCTTTAAAATATTACATGCACAAAATTTTGAAAAGAATAGCTATTGATGAAGTTTCTTAAATTTAGAGGGTTGTCTATGATATTTCAAATGGTGTTCATGAAAGTTTGTCAACTTCAGCGTATCTATGATGTTTAGAACTTTAGAATAGTACCTATGCTATGAGATTATAACTACATGAAAAGACACCAACCAAATTTTGCTGAAAATAGATTCTTAACTACTACATTGATCATCAATTCTATGAGAAGCAACCATTCAGAGAGAATGGCAAGGTACCTGTTCATATTAGTCGGAAGGCTTTGAGCTGCAGAAGGAAAAGAAGGCTCCTTTGTGTCACTTCCTAAAAGTTGTTGGCAAAGTTAGCATGATTTAGCTAACAGCAAGGATGAATAAATAGAAACTATTAATAAGCTGGTACCTTTAGATTCATCAGGTGCTAACAAAGAAATGCCAATAAATACAAATGCCATCCCCACTATAAACATTGTTATCCTTAATATGTTGAATACCTATTAAAACAGTTAAAGTTAGTTTCATCTAACAAAAGCAATATATATATATATATACACACAAACACACACGCACACACACACAAAGGCTCACTTGATATTCTTGGAAATATATAAATCCTGTGCAGATGGAGAAGAAGGTCCATGCAATCTGAAACATGGGGACGATAAGGATTGCATCAAAAAGAGACAGTCCTTCATTCAATCTTGCCATCTGAAATTTAAGAAAAAGAATCAGATGTCTCAGAGGAAGGCAATTAAAAGATACAGCACACCTAGGAACAATAATTGAACCAATCATACAGTTCAGCTTTAGCTTATTGACATCATTACCCAAAATCCTGCTGTGCTAAAGAACAACAACAGCATACAATATGTAAACCAGCTGTGGAACTGATATACGCTACTCATGGTTAGTCTTAGCATGTTGGACCTGAAAGCCAATGCAATAAAGAGACAAAAAAAATGTCAGAAGAATGTGACAACACATACTGAAAAATCTACAGCTGAAATCTTTCTTTAAGATCCCAACTTACAAGGATTTTGCAAACAACACTGAGAAGGATCCCACAGCACCAGAAACAGTGGCATAGGAGAATGGGAGCAGTGTGCACCAATAGAGACTGTCATGATTAGAAACTGCAAGATATGCTTCTCCTCTCCTGTCAGTTATAAAAGTCAGGAATTGAGATAACCATGATTTGCTGCCAAAAAGTGAGACAATGGTGACTATAAACCAAAAAAAGGCTGACTTTTAACAGCAAAAGGTAAACTGGATTTGACATGCTAACAATTTTGAAAACTAGAGGTGTCAGATCACCTGTAAATATATTGATTGATGATGACCACCAATAATAAGGTGAAGCAATAGAGTAGAAAAACTAAGCTGGAGTATTTTGCTATCAGTTCCTCTGGTGTGTACACTGAGACAAAAAAAGAAATTATTATTTATTGAAGCAATGAATATTCCTTCCCTTCATACTAGGATCAATGTGGTTTACCAGGTGACTGGTGATTTCCAAACGATACCAGAAAGATGTTGCCAAAAACAATAAATGTTGTCGCTACCATGACTCTGCAAGACAAGTCGGTATATGAAATCATATTTATGAATAAAGTATAATAGTCCCATTATGAAAATAATGCCATTTCTGAAATGACATACTTGACCGATACAGTCTTACTTAGCACAAAGTAAGCAAATGCAATATTAGAAACAAATTGAATTGACCCCAAAGCTGCGAGAAGTGACTGCACACAAAGAAAAAAGAATAACCTATTAGCAAAATCACCAAATAAATGGTTTGTAATTATTATTCAACCTTAAAGAAGAACAAGCTGAATTTTCTCAACAGGATGGCTCTCCACAATTGCCTTACAAACCTAATTTTAAATGCATTAGGCAGATAATCATTACCAAGCCAATTAAGACTGTGTACTAATGCCACAACTCAATTGTGAAAGCCAATATGCCACACATAGCTTGTGCACTTAAAAAACAAAGAAAATAAGTACTAAAGAGAAATAAATCCAGCAATAAGATTTATGTACAAATTTGCACACCAAATCCATCAGGTCAACACAAATATCTACATTCCAAGACTATCATAGTTGAACAAATATCAATCAAAAGCACAGTGTGCATCACATCCATGAGATAGTAAGACAATAATTCCACAGAATTTTCTTGCTAACGCCAAATTTGAGTAATAAAAACCCCTGAAAGGCATATAAACACATGGCAAACTTTTTATACAGGATGATAAATTACATCAAAAGACCCATAAAGCCAGAGTATGTGACTTGACCTGTGCAGCATATGCAAAGGAAACGAAGTTAAGGCAGTTCCCAAAAGCAAATAAAAGAAGACCTGCATTAGAAGGTACATCAATCAAGCATCTTAAAGATATTTATCAAGATAGACACTAACTGTGAGCAAAAAAGAGTCAGAATATTACACAATAAACATTACCAATTCTCCACGTCTGGAAATGTATGATTGATTTCACATTAAGTTTGCTATTGGTTCCATCACGGCTAAGCATAGAGTGCCTCTCTCGCTGCAAACAAAGAGACAGATACCATAGGAAAAACATTGACATGTAGGTATGAAGATTCAATATTTAAAGTAGTCAACAAATGAATCTTCCTTGACTAGCAACTAGCTGTGCCAGGAAATGAAAGGTAGGTCAAAGAAGGCACATAGAGAATTACCTGATCATGACCCAATTTTAGAAGATTAGTCCCAAAATTTATAGCAATACTTCCAATTATGTTGATAAATGCTCCGATAACCCACTCGCCCATGGATCAATGATGATGAAGAGACCTTGTAAAGTATAAAATCCAGTTCCTTACTTTGTTCGTAGTTGACCATTGCAGGTCATTGATGCAGTCTTAGGGCTTCAGGAAGCCAGCAAGAATCTTATTAACCGGTGGTTAAAGCCCACTGAATTTCATGCAGAAACTACAGGAAGTACAAATGATTGAAGTCCTTAAAAACATGCAATTTTTGAAGGTAATATCAGCAACTAGTTTCCACAAATTAAACCCTTCAAAGGAACATTTAAGATAATAATTAAAAGGCTCAATTAGATTATTAGACTAGCTCAATGATTAATGACAAAGACCTTCAGTGATTGGGAAAAACAAATAATGTAAAAAAAGAACAGTAAATGATGGCTGCACCAATATTTTAAATAAAGATTCTTGCTTGGAGACATTATGTTGCACTGGGTTTAATATCTTAACAAATTTTAGCAATCATATATCCAAATTTACCTAAACAATTTTAGACAAAATTAACTAATTCAGATTATGATATTAACAATTCAGTTCCAAATTGGGTTTTCGGGGCAAAGTGAAGGCATTGTATATAACTCATCCAAAGATGAAGTTACAGGTAAAAAAATTACAAAAGTTGATTAGATTTAGATATAGTGAAATCATATTTAATGTTCTATAGTTGCAACTGTACACACTAGAATCTATAATAGTAGTTGAATTAGGTAGAATCTTTCTTTTTAAGTTTTACACAAGTAACAAAAAAGGGGATGACGTAGTGCAAGGTTCCCACAATGTGGAGTCTGGGGTGGTTTAGCATAAGTTGGAAAAAGTAGTGCATATCCTCCATATTTCAACAACTAAATAAAAATAAGACATCTTTAGTTTAGGAACACATTGCTAGGTCTCAAATCTCACAGATCATTCATGTAGACAAAGTTGAGATGTTTCCTTTGCTATCAAGGAAACATAATATTACCTTTTCCATGCAATGATAACTTCAGAGAGAAAGCAGCATTAAAGAGTGATAACTCTTAAGTTTGCCACTCCCATCAAAATCACGTGGCATCTTTTAAATTCTCTTCTTGTTAAATAACAATTACCCTCCAATTTAATTAAGAAACTCAACTTGTAAACTAAATTTGAAACTTCAAAGATGATCTCTCAGATAAAAAACTTGGGCTTCATTCAAAATTGTGTTTGCACCTTCCTGGCTATGATCCAATTAAAATACTTCCACATTGTGCCTCAATGTAAATTTGACAAGAAACATCAAATTGGTCAATTAAGGGGCTTCCGAAAGAGGTACTTAAGGCAGAAAGGGTCAGAGAACTCTGCAAACAAAGGACATGAACCACCATTCCCCTTTCCATCGGTGCATGCACACGCAATAGTTGTTCCTCTATATCTCAAAAGTCTAACAGCTTATGAAGTATGTTTCCAGTCATCTTTCCCTTGGCTTAACAATATTGTTATATCCTGCTTCATATTTGTTTAGTTCACAGACAAAGTAAAAGCTTTCTGTTGAATAATTAGTAGTATGTGAAATGCAACTATTGATAATGCTGTCTTGAACAAGCCCACTATCATCACCATAATATGGCAAACAATGTATATGATTGTCATTCAATTACTAGTATCTCAGATATGCTTTTAGTTCTTGGCAAATACATTCAATTGGATTATCTCAAATCTTGAACATTGATTTAAGCCTTAGTGTTCAAAAAGCTATCATCTGACCATACATGTAGATGCAATCATATGAATTTCTTGCATAAGTTATATATGGAACTACATAAGTGTGGTCCATATATGCAGCTACATGCAGCACATGCATTATATGGTACCCTAACTGCTGACATTTCTTTCTATAATATTGATTCTTCTGTCTGTAAACATGCACAATATAATAAGAGGATGCCATTTCACATCAAACTAATGTATACAATGTATGTCATCAAGGCCAAGTTATCCCTCAGCTCATACATAACGTAAACAAGATAAAAGGGAGATATTAATAATTAAAATTTTTTCACTTGTAACATCCAGTAAATTTGTTCATCACATATCCGAAGTTTCAAAGAAGCGGACACAACAAAATTGCTGATATCAAAACTAAATGATGCGTGTTACATTGAAATGGCATACAGCCATGTAGGGATTCAATGAGGAGACTACAAGAGGATGACAGAAAAAGGTGGCCTTGCCTTTTTTTTGGATCCTTGAAAAGGCAAAAAAAGTTGTTTTAATATCCTTTACCCATTCTTCATATTCAACATTAGGCACATTAAACAAGATATACCATTTAATGTTTTCATTAGTTCACAATCATGAGTCGCAGCTCCAAGTACTTGAATCACTCCAAAGTGAAGTCTCTTTCCTTGCATCATGGAGATCTCACATTCACAATCTCATGCTTTCTTCTCAGAAGTATCTTCCATGAGCAGATCCTTACAATGATTTCTTCTATTTTAATTACACATTATAATTTCTCAATGCATTATCAATTTGCACTTCCAAATCCAGTGACACGATAGGTTACCTTGTCCATCTAAAACAAATAATCATCCTCCAAGAACTCATGAAGGCTCCTTTTCAAGTTAATACCCTAATGCTCCTGCTTATGTTGCTCTTCCATTGCTACCTATCGTCATTTATGAGTGTAGATTGTAGACACATTATGGAGTGCGTTCCTAGTTAGTATCCACAAACAAATATACACACTGCCATGACACCTCTCTTATTACTCAATTCACCTTAAGAAAGTGATTACGTGGTTTCTGTTAAAAAATTTCTCTAGGCATGGATAATCCAATTATCTTGGACATTAATCTTAGCTGTGCTCCAAGATCTCTCTTTTCGCCTCCCTGTTCCCTAAACTAATTTTCCTTTACACTTCGGCAGGACATTTGTCATGTCCAACCTTAATTCACATCATGAACTGCTAGAGTTAATAATTGATGATCATTTAGAGGACAAGAAACCCCAGGGCGAATCTGAATCCTAGAGTACATAATCTCCAATGACAAACACATGGGAGATAGCGTCACGAAATCCGCATGCGTTTAAGGTCAGCAGAAGGGAAAAATATTTGGCCTAAGATCTTTAACAGAATCTGTATAAAAAATGGGAAAAATGGCCTCTGAACCTTATTCTCTGCTGTGTATGCTTTCAGCTCAAGATACGATAGCTAGCGCCAGATCTGATTACAACGAAATGATCAATCAGGAAAAACTTTAGGTACACCTCAAGAAACAATGCAAGAACGATGAGATCGAAACCCTAACATGCTAACGATTAAAAAGAACAAGCAGACGAGCGATCGCATCGGATCTGCAGAGGCCAACGGGCGTTTTACCTCGTAGGAGGGCCGCCGAACCGGGACCCAAGAAGAATCGATCCGGGACGAATACGAGAAAAAGAAGAAGAAAGAACCCTGTAGAAATTTCTCTCGAGAGGTCGGAGGAGGAGAAGAGAGGAAGAAGAGGGGGAGGAAGCTGCGGTCGTCGCCGATGGAGATGGGAGGGGGTAGGATCTGTGAGATGCGTGCGCGACTCACCGACCGCTTCTCCCGCCGTCCTCAGCCGTCAAAACCAGGACAAACACCCAACGAAGGGAAAGAAATTGTTCGCCAAAATTACCCGACGATGTGCGCCAACAACATCTGTCGTAACTCGAGTCGTCGACAACATCGTCTAAGAATTAATTTGGTAGTTAACATTAGAGGTGGGGAAGAAACACTCTTTCCTTACCCGATTCCTACCCGTGGAGCCACCTTGCTTTCTATTGGAAGTATACAAAGATGAAAAGAAAAGGAAGGGATAGACAATTTGCTGTAAGGGCCCATCACAAAGGCCATACATGAACTATATTGGCCCAAAAGGCTCAGTGGATCCTGCGCCCTTTTAGCCGGCTCATTATGGCACGTATATAGCACTTGATCGCCGTTAAAATCCCATGGTGCCTCTGTTTCGTTTCTTCCGTTCACGCTCTAGCCGACATTTCTAGGGTTTAATCTCCGGGACGTGATGGCGGGGCGAACATTGATCGCGAAGCTGCACTCCATTTCCCTCTCCTCCCGGGTTATCTCGCTCCCTCTTGCCCGACCGTCCCCTCTACTCCGCTTCCGCCCCCTCCTGGCCGCCGCCGCCGCCTTCGACTACCCACTGCTTCGCCTCAGCTCAACCTGTGGCGCCGCTGGGCTTCGGTGCTTCTCCACCCGGCCGACTACGTCTTCTCTCAATGACCCGTCGCCGAACTGGAGCAACCGCCCTCCTAAGGAGACTATCCTTCTCGATGGTTGTGACTTCGAGCATTGGCTTGTTGTCATGGAGCCCCCCGATCCGGCCCTCACCCGCGACGAAATCATCGATAGCTACATCAAGACCCTGGCCGAGGTCCTTGGCAGGTGATATGTTCTTTTCCTGTTTTCCTCCTTTAAATCTTATATGGTCTAACAGAAAAGGTTTACTGGTTGGATTTTTGAAGCACTAGGCGCTGGGAATTAAACAGAAAAAGGAGGTTAAATTACCTGTAGCGCTGGAAAGATAAAATCTTGGGATTACTTTTTATTTGCTTTGTAACCTACTATCAGATTATTGGAGTTATTTGAGGTTTACACTGTTCATGTGACGGTAATTTGGAACAAAAAGGTTTTCTCTTTAGCTCCATTATCTTTTCATGTAAGGTTCTAGATTAATAGCTGGAGTTGTTAGAATGGATGAAAAATTATTAAGAGTTTTATAAACTCCATGTGCTACCCATTTGTGTTGCTATCACGGGGGTCTTATTGTAGCTTTAGCTTATACTGCCATAAATGATGATTAATTAACCAATATCTTCACTGGTTCTGGACTTTTCTGTGAGCTCTAGAAGTTTCTTTCTTCAGGTTGCTTGGGCTTTATCCTGTGTAATCTGTTACCATCTTGTACCTCATTTATGATGTTTCAGGTGATTTAAAATGAAGTAGATAACAACAGCATAAATTATAAAGTGATTGCTGTCAGAACTTTTGTATTTTTTAATCTTGTCTTTGATCTAAATTTATGTGAATTCACATATTGTTCGCCATTTGGGTGTTCCTATGTGACATTTCGAATAATGTTCTTTTTTTTCCAAGTTATGCATCAAAGGCCTTCTAGCTGGATTATAAAAGCATTGTTTCACTATTTGCTGCTGTATGTTTCAGTTGCCTTTACATTTGATTGTGTTTGCATCTTCTCTCTGCACTTCAATTAACATCATGTTACAGTGAAGAAGAAGCGAGGATGTCAATTTATTCAGTGTCGACAAAGCATTACTTTGCCTTTGGGTGTAAAGTCTCTGAGGAGATCTCGTATAAGATAAAGCGTATGCCTGTTTCACTCAGTTTTTATTTAGACTCCTTTAAAGATATGTTTCTTCTTTTTCTCATAATTTCCTACTCATAATGCAGCTCTGTCAAAGGTCCGTTGGGTTCTGCCCGATTCATATTTGGATGTTAAGAACAAAGATTATGGAGGTAAAACAAAATAATGTCTTCCCCTTTTCTCTTCTCTTCTTTTCTTTTAAGAACTAAAAGATAAAAAAATTATTGTGGTTGAGGTAAGGGAAAGAAGAAAAAAAAACATTCTCTCCCCTCTTTTCTCAGTTCTTTTTAAAGAACTTAAAGATAAAAAAAAAACAGCATTTTGTCCTTTATACACGACTAGCCTGTGATCTCAGTTTGTTACTATTATTATTGGGTAATTGCTTCTCATTTTCCTTTTTTCTTATTCTGCAATCCAAGACATTGTATTTTTAACTTGCACTTGCAGCATTTAGGCATAGATGAGCATACGAGACAAGTGATAGCGATAAGGAGGTGATGAGATAGTACAGTCATTGCAGCTTTATCTGCATGCTGTGTCCATTGTGGTCAAAAGGTTTATAAAATTTGCAACTGTTCATGGTTTACATTGAACTTTGGGACTGAATTGGATCAGTCTGCCTGGATCATTGGATTAGAATTAATCAGAGATCAGCCCACTATGTGTCAAAATGGATATAACTTCATTTGTGTTGGTTGAGATTCATTTGAATGCATCAAATCCATTGAAATGGAACTAGCCTAGGATTTGCTTCCATTGGCCTGGGTTTGGATGTCATCGGTTGGGGCCAATGGGATTGATACACGATTAGGAACAACTAATCCTAACCAATCGGTTTAAAAATGATTGCCTTATCCCTAAATGGGGGGAGGGTTCATGTAGGCCAATACTTGAACCAGGATTGCTTCTCTTCTGTAAAACATGAAGATTTTTTTTGTTTGCCTTAGGCTAATCTTTTGATCAAAATCCTGATTAAGAGTTCCTTTAGTTAAAGACCTTTGCCTTCAGCCTTTCTTAAAGAAATTAAATCAAAGTTCATTGTTATGCACCTCTGTGCAATGAATTTAGAGACTTCTGATGGCAAAAAAAAAAGGGTTTCATGGAGTGATGCTCTTTCCTGAGGCTTTTTCATGCTTCAGTTATGAAGTAAACTTATGGTCGGTTCCATTTTTAGCTAAATTCTTCAGATCCTAAACATGGTACCATATGCAGCTTGGTCTGCAGTGTGAAGTTTATGCCAGAATCAAGAAGGAGACAACTTGAAACTGCAATATGGAAAATAAAAATTATTTTTGTTTGTGACATGGAGACCGAAAGTTTTTGGAAAACTTGAAAGTAAACATGAAAAGAATAAGAAAAGAGAATATGGAGATGGTTCAGAGCAATCCACATAACATAGAAGCATGTACAGGCTTCAGTTCATCATTTTCAGTGAAGGATGGTATGTAGGTCTATTGCAAGTTTTACATAATTGATGGTTGTTAGTAATGATTGTGTTCGGTCCTCATGAGAAACTCATCTCATGAAATAGAGAAGCTATATATGAGCAACATGGATATGTCATTCATAGGACAAAGCATGAAACATATGGAGTATAGGTTTTGTCAATATGGTTTTCTCTTGTTTCTTTCTTTGCGGTATGCAATATTGATAAACTTCTTGTACTTCCTTTTGAAGTCAACTGGGTCCCGTCTCTGTTAGGGTTTGCAGTACTTAGAAATTAATAGGTTTCCATGTGTAAATGAAGATGGCATTTATTAATTTTGGACAAGAAAGTAGGGGATGAGCACACATGTAGACTTAACTAATCTGGCTTTTTATCATATATAAATTTGGGCTCATATCTTATCCTCCCATGAAAATGAAAGCTTATTCCAAGTGTCCTTACACAAAGGAATGTTGTCGGATTTGTGCGGTTGACGCTTTGCAAGATGCTACTCTGGATGCTTAGTGCTTTTCAGATTGTCAGGCTTGGTCTTCATTGGATCACTTGGCATTCCCTGCCTCCTTTGGATGTTGGATATTGTTACTTGCATCATTAACAGAGTACGATGAATGACTTGATTAGTTCTTTTTTGTTCATCTTTTTTTTTGTTTTTTTTGCTATTACTTTAACATGCAAATTCTGAAGCAAAATTCACCACATAAGACAAAGAAACAGACTATCTTTTATGCTTTTGCAGGAGAACCATTCATAGATGGTAAAGCTGTTCCTTATGACCCTAAATACCATGAAGAATGGGTTAGGAATAATGCACGTGCACAAGAGAGGTCGAGGCGGAATGACAGGCCTCGCAATTTTGATCGGTCGAGAAATTTTGAGAGAAGAAGGGAAAACATGCAGAACTTCCAGAATAGAGAAGCACCACCAGTGCCAAACCAGGAGTTCCGGAATCGTGATACACAGAGTGCCATGCCACCAAATGTTCAAAATCCGATGCCTCCAAGAGATGTTTCTGCAGGGCCTACCCGTGATTTCAATGCCATGCCACCTAATGCACCAAACTACCAGAATCAAATACCTAACAGGAGCAGCAGCTATGGGCCACCAAATGCTGGACCTAGCTATCAAGGAACTGGTCAAGGCTATCCAGAAGGTCCGGGTTATCAAGGTGGTGGTCAAGGATACCGGGGTGGTGACCCTGGAGGCAATATGCCAGGTGGTCCTGGTTATCAAGCAGGACGGCCTGGTTATCAGGGAAGCCGTCCTGGTGGTTATCAAGGAGGTGGCCCTGGTTATCAGGGAGGCAATCCACCTCATCAAGGTGGCTTCTCTGGCTCCCCGTCAGGCAGCCCTGGTTACCAGGGAGGCAATCCACCTTATCAAGGTGGCTTCTCTGTCTCCCCGTCAGGCAACCTTGGTTATCAGGGAGGCAATCCACCTTATCAAGGTGGCTTCTCTGGCTCCCCATCAGGCAGCTCTGGTTATCAAGGAGGTGCCCGCAACTACGAGCAAGGTGGACCTGGGTATCAAGGGGGTCCTCCTCATCAAGGAAGAGACTTGCCTGGAAGAGATCAATAGGCAGCATCGCCTTGGATATTCTGTACAAAACTGATATAAGGTGCTACAGTTTCTGCTTCTGTTGTAAGACATGCGGGGTGCACTCTTTGGAGACTCGATCTTTATCTTGATCTGTATGTTGTTGCTTAGGCTTGCTTATAGGTTGTCCCTTAGTTTCTAGAGCATGAATCCAATAATATATGAAGTACGGAAGTGTCATCTAGTGCTTCTAGTTGTAGTGAACTCTTGTTTCGTTATGCTGAATTTGGTTGTTATATTCATGAAACTGCTGAAACTTGTTTCAGTGTTTTAGGTGTATAGTTTTCTCAGCACACGACAAACTGCTGAAACTTTTTCGTTCTCTAGCCCGAACAAGGCCCATTGTTGCCGTTAGAGGAAACCACGCCCAATGTTAATGATAGAGGAAATCTGTTCATGGGAAGCCTGGGCCGTGACCGGGCTGGTTTTCGGAATCGCCGTCCCTCTCGGGCCTGCTACCGCTTTCTACTCGTAAAAGGAACCTTGGAGCCCAAGCAGTAGCAGGTCGGCTGTGGAGCCCAATCAGGATTCATGATTTCCGAGTCGGAAAAGGCACCAGGCCTCGCTCTGAGTCCACCTAAAGCCCATCAACCTTGGCGGTAAAAGATGCCCACCCCCGCCTAGAGTCCACGCGTCTCGCTGCCTTTGGACGATGCGTAGTGGGGCCCACTCATGTTTACTCTTTCGCGCGCCAAAACGTCGAGATTAATCCGATCATTACTCTCTCTCTAATAAAGAGGGGAAGGTTAAAAAAGCACCGAAGGTGAGAAGGCGTAAGGGGCAAGGAAGGGGTCATCGTCGTGGATCTTAGCTCAGATCCCTCGACCGACATCCGAATTGCCTCCCTGCTCCTATTGGGAATCAAACTGCCGCCGTGCGCGCCCAGATCACCGCCTCGATCGAGTGACGACTCGTCACGGTTGTCACGTCTTAGATCGATCCCTTGGGCAAGATCCGTCGATTTCCCGCCTGCTTTAATTCATCTTTTAGGGTTTAGCTGCGGCAGCTATTTAGCTCGATGAGCCCCGGCGTGGGTGTCGCGCATATGGAGGACCCCAAGCCTCTGATTTCTTCTGCAGATGATCGAGGCGGCGATAGAATTGTCGATCGATTCGCCGATCTGTGCAAGGTTTGTTTCGCTTTGAGTTCCCTAATATTCTTTTCGCCTTCTTTTTTTGGTCTGTATAGTGCTTTCTGTGTATGCAATCTGAACTGGTGATCTCGTCGGTTTGAAGGGATTGGCTCTTGGTGGCAATACCGAGAGAGAAGCGATGAATGTGTTTAAAGAAGGCAAAAATCTGTTCTTTGCTTCTGTGACATCATTTGGTAGCAGATCGGTAAACTTTTCTTTTCTCTTTAGTTGTCCTCTTTGTTCAAGTTGTTGGTTTTCTCGTAATTTTTCGTAATCATCAGCCGGAAGAGATCGGAAGATACTGGTCAGCATTTGTTCTCTACTGCGTGCGGAGATTGAGCACAGGCGAGGCACAGGAGGGCCAAAAGGAAGGCAGGATTACTTTGTGTCAGATCTTGAGAGCTTGCGATCTGGCGTATGTTTTTCCTGCCTTTTCTTTGGTTAGTGTTTTGTTGTCTCTATGGAGTATTTATAATGCTTTTATGGTTTTCAATGTAGAATTGTGGATTTCTTCAACGAATTGCCGTTGTTTCCTCTCAAGGCAGGCCATATTCTGACCGATCTTTATGGCTCTGACTGGGACAAGAGGCTTGAGGTAGAGTTATTAGTGGGATTATCATCGTTTCTGAATTTTTTTGGTCTGGATATTTCTGACTTTCTGTTTTTAATACCTGATAAACAGTTGAAGGAATTGCAGGAGAATGTTACACAGTTAATTGATCTCAGCAAGTAAGTAGTCTGACTTCCTGATCCTTTTACACCCACTTTGTTGATTGTTGTTGACTGCACTAGTAATTCTGATCTTTCATTGAGGGATGAAATTTGCAAGGTTATCTTCATTGTGTTGGGACAATCGTTCATTTGATGTATAAGGCTTAGGACCCTTCTGCCCTTGTTAAATACTATTGAATTTGCTAGACCTGCCTACTACTAGTTCTTACTGAAAATTGGATATGTTTGTGATTGGTGATCAACATTGATTTATGATCAGGACAAAATCATGGCTCTGAAAATCAAAGAAACTCTTTTCCTCTAACTTACAAACTTGAGCATGGAAAAAGTGAACTCGTCATTTAATTCTATATGTCTTATACCATGACATTGTCAATCCTTGATTAAAGGGGTCAAAAAAGAGAAATATAATAAAGGTGATCCCTCATAAAGCTATGTCTTTGATGGTTGATATTGAAGTGATTTTTCAATCTCATCATTCCACCTAAATGCATTATTGATTGGAAATTTGCACTATGGATTAATGGATTTGAAGTAGAAAAGTGCTGTTTTTGAGGGCACAGTGATAAATTGCAACCATCAAATCTTTTGTTCTAATTTTAAAACACAAACTCAAATTCATGGTTGATCCAATTGTCGAACTCCAAAGGACTTCAAAACTGCAAGCTACTTGGTACTCTAAAGTCTAAACATATGAAGCCTTGAATTTTGCCTATGACACAGCAAGAGCTATAAAACAATCATTTCTATTACCTTTCTAGTATTTACTCTAGTTAAGGCAGTTATTTTGTCTTAATGCTACATTTGCACATTGAATAAGAGAGAAATTTAATTTTACTTGAAGAACAAGAAACCACTTCTTCTCAGAACAAGTGGCTGCCATTGCCGGACTTCAAAACTGCAAGCTAATTGGTACTCTAAACATATTTAGTCTTGATTTCTGCCTACAACACAGCAAGAGCTATAAGACAATAATTTCTATTACCTTTCTAATAGTTACTATATTTAAGGCAGTTATTGTGTCTTAATGCTACATTTGCACATTGAATAAGAGAGAAATTTAGTTTTACTTGAAGAACAAGAAACCACTTTTGCTCAGAACAAGTGGCTGTCATTGCCTTATATCAACTCTTTGACAAAATCCCATCCTGCAAGCTCCTTGTTTGGTTCTGAAGAAACCAGAGATGATCTAACAAATTATGGATATGTGAAGTTTTGAGCCTTATGTGACCAAGACTTGAGTCTGATCAGCAACTCATCCAGTTAGAATCAGAGTTGGCAAGTACCAGAAGCGGGCTCATAAAAAAAGTATCAGTATTGATGCTGGATATCAGATTCATTCTAAAATTTAGGATTTGATTAGTCTGGACTTGTTAAGGGGCTCAGCAGGACATTACTAAAAATTGATTAAAAAACACAAAAGTCGTTTGTTACAGTTGGAAAAGGAACAGAGTGGGAAACCAGTTGAGACTTGGTTAGAACTGGTTGAGATGTGCTTGAAGCTGGTTGGTATCTGTTTTATTCAAAGCCATTTTGAATTGTTTAGGACCCAATCTGAACTGGCCAAAACAGGGCCAGAACCCACCGTAGTGGTCCGAACATAGTGGTATCTCTTTGGAGAATTGGACTTTCCCCAATCAGACTTCTTAGTTCAAGTGGGCCACCTTATGTGAGCAACCTAAATTGGCAGGTTGTCACAGTCCATGTGCAGCTATAACTGAAAACCCAACTCATGAAACAACACGTCAAGCAAGAGTTAGTTTAGTTAAACTTGGTCTGGTGGTTTATTTGGAAAAGTGAAATATCCTAGTGTACATGCTCTAATCATCATATTCATCTAAGTCTTGTTTAAGACAAAATTAGTGGAAATTATTAATGAGAGCAAATTAATTTTCTTTGCTGATATAACACTATTAATGAACGAAGGCTAACATAGAACATTATGTAGTGTCAAAGGTGGAGATAGATTGGTCATTTATCCATTATGATGTAATGCATCCCAAACTATCGTTTGGATAAATGAGTGAGGAAGCTGAAATTGTTATATAAGTGATATGCTGAACCGGCCACATGACCAGTCGCTGCTTATCAATTTGTAGTGGAATGGAATTAACTGAAGTTGTAAGTGTTTTGAAGGTACATGAGTTTCACACTATGACTTGTGCACTGCCTTCTTGATTGGCCAAAAAAAGCTTATCAAAAGAATATTAGTAGCTTGCTTGATGAAAGTGGTAATTAGAATGAAGATACACTGCATATTTTTTTGTCTTTCAACCACTACTAGCTAGTCTGGCATAAGGGTTGGCTAGTGAATGGGCTGTTGGTAGAAAGGGCATTTTCCTAATCTTTCAACTGTCATCTCTGATTTTTGTTTCACCTTAGAAATATTATACTATTTATTTTTTGATGGTTAATATTTACTTGGTAATACTAGTTTGGATACTTTTTGTTTTACACTTTTTATTGATCATGGTAGTATTAGCTAATGAGCTTGGCACGGGTATCAGGTTCTATGACAAGGCATTTGGGGAGTTTTTTTCCACTTCTAACATGAGGAGGAAAGATCAAGATTCTGCAGCTTCTGGCAGTGTGGGAAATGTCCAGGACTTCTATCGCTTTGGATGGTTGCTATTCTTAGCACTTCGCACGCATGTTTTTACCCATTGCAAAAATTTAGTGATATGCACCAAAGGACTAGTCTCTATATTGGTTTGTCTCTTTCCATTTTTTCTCATTCCGTTCATATTTTATATTCAATATTTCCTGTCCCGTGGATATCATGCTATATTAGTTAGCATGGGGAAATATATACATCATGGTAAATGTTAAATACTTGTCTCTTATTGACAGGCCATACTCATTCTTCATGTGCCTATAGGATTCAGGAATTTCTCTGTCAAAGACATGTCCCTCTTTGGTAGTGGCTCCTTTGCACTTGTGTTAAATTTTCTACTTTCTTAATGCTTCTGGTTCTAACATGTTGCTAACGACCTACATATGGTTGATTTTAACACCTGTGTTTCAGTTAAGCAATCAAACGGCAGAGTGAACCTTCTTGCTTCTTTATCTGAAATTTATCATACTTCTGAAGATGATTTGAAGAGATCAATGGAAGTAACTTACTCTCTAATAATAGATATTTTGAAGAAGAATCCGTGCTGTGCTTCAGGATGCAAAACAGAAAATTTAGACCACATTGATACAGGTAAGAAAATTGCTACTGCAATTTTCTCCATTGTCCCAGAAGCTAGTTTATGAACACTTTTTTTTTTATTACAATAAGGTAATTTCTTTAAAACTATACCTGATGACAGAAGGACTGAAGGTTTTTGAGGATTTGCTCGAGGAGAAGTCATTGCAATCAAGTTTGGAAATTTTAGAAAAAGATTATAGTGATTTATTGAACGCTAAGTATGAGCTGGATGAACGCATTTTCATAAACACTGAAGATAGTTTACTTGATGCTAAAAACATGTCTGGAGGCACAACTAGGTTATTCAGCACTAAGGTATGTTAGCCTAAGCATGCCCGTGTTACTCCACTGTTGTTAACTAATTTTCCCTTTGGAAGTATATTTATGGTGCATTTTATATTTTGCAGTCGAATTTGGATGACTTAGCCTCTCCTGCACGGTGGGCAGCTAGCCTTTTGACTCCTCATTCTCCTCCACTGTTAAATGGTTCGCTCAATTGTAACTCTAAGATAGCTCCAACACCTGTAAGCACAGCAATGACAACTGCGAAGTGGCTTCGAGAATTTATTTCCCCTCTTCATTCCAAACCTTCAGCAGAACTTGAGCACTTCCTTACATCTTGTGACCAAGACATTACTAGCACTGTGACCCGAAGGGCCAACATAATACTGGAGGCAATTTTTCCAAGTAGTTCTTTTGGAGAACGATCCATTTCTGGGAGTCTTCAGAGTGTTAACATGACTGAAGACGTGGCATGGGCACAAGAGAGAAAAATGGAGGCCCTTAAGTTGTACTATAAGGTGTTGAGGGAAATCTGTCTAGCAGAATCACGATTCCTGAATCATAATAATCTTACATCACTATTATCCAATGAGCGTTTTCATCGGTGCATGCTTGCTTGTTCTGCAGAATTAGTTTTGGCAACACACAAGACAGTTATTTTGATGTTTCCTGCTGTCCTGGATAGAACTGGATTAACAGCTTTTGATATGAGCAGGGTGATTGAGACTTTCATTAGATACGAAGAGACTCTACCAAGAGAGTTAAAGAGACATCTGAATTCTTTGGAAGAGCGACTCCTTGAAAGCATGGCATGGGAGAGGGGTTCATCGTTATACAATTCTTTGATCGTTGCTAGGCCAGCTCTTGCTGCAGAAATAAATAGCCTGGGGCTATTAGCTGAACCAATGCCATCTCTTGATGCAATTGGAATGCATCATGATAATTCAATTGCAGACTTGCTTCCTGAGCTCTCCCAAAAAGCAGTTACTTGTCCAGGTAGCTTTATCCTTTAGATGAATATTCATGGTCTTGAGAAATCATGTTGGCTTATGGTTTTTGTTCTTCAATAAATAACAATCTTTGCAGTCTCTGTTAATAATTACTTAGAGAACCTATTACATGCTGTGGAACAAATATGCATAAAACAGGGTGAAGTGTGCATGAGAACTTCTAAAAGTTCTGTGAGTAATGGTCTGCATAACTAGCATAACAAATAATGCTTTGTTTTGTGACCAAAAGGCAAAATGTATACAACATAGTCACCTAACTAACTCGTCTGCATGACAAACAATGCTGCTGAAAACTTCTATGTGGATGATTATTTTGCCTTTTCGTACCTGGATCTTTAGAGAGAAGTTCATAAAAATTTTAGGTTTTCTAATAGTGTAGTTTCCCTTGGATCGGCCCATTGATGGTCCAAGTTTATCTCTTTATTCTTTTGATTATTAAATGTCAGGGCCACAATCTTCAAATTGTTGAAGCAGCTAGCTTGATGTCTTGAGCTTTAAGGTCTGCAACAATCTCAGCTGCCCATGAAAGCACCGACTGCACTAGTGTTTCTTCATTTTTGGGAAAGGAAATTGCCATTTTGAACAAGAAAAGTGATTGAATGAGGATTCACATGCTAAATATTGTAGTGGCCATAGTGGATTTGACATGTCTCAAGTCAATTTTAGAACAAAAACATCAGTTTTCCAGACAAACTATCGTCTTCCTGAACTTTGCCATATTTCTCAGTGGTGATTTTCAAACATATTACTCCCACTGCAGATAACAGGGGCGATGCCAGATCACCAAAGAGACCATGCACCGAAAACAGAAGTCTGTTTGTGCAATGTAATTCTACACCAACACGCAAGGAACACATGTTGACCTTTAATTATCTCAAATTCAAGACACCACCTCTCCAGTCCAAATTTGCAAGGTTTGTGTTTGAATTGCTCTTTTGTTGGTCTCTAATTTTGAAACATATCAGGTCTGTGTCTAACGCCAGTTATCCATTTGGTTCTCATTTGCAGTCCTTCCCAACCTAACCCTGCTGGAGGGGAAATATGTGCTGAAACAGTAATTAGAGTTTTCTGCAATAAAGTAATTGTTTACTAGATATTGTGTTAGTTACTTTTTTTTTTTTAGTGGATATTGTATTTGTTTATTGTTTATGATGTTGCCTTTTGATTTGACAAGTATTTGTCTTTTGGTCCTCGTAGATTCTGAAGTTAGCTGCTATAAGGATCAAAAGCTTGGGTGAGAAGCTACAGCTGTCTCAGCAAATTTTGGAATATGTCTACCGTATGTTTCAACAAATCCTTTGTCAAAGGACATCTCTTTTTTTCAACCGACACATTGATCAAATTATTCTGTGCAGCTTGTATGGAGTTGCTAAGGTACACCAATTTACTTCCTCAGAAGCTACCTCTTGTTACTAGTCAAATTTTGTTTTCTTTAGATGTTTAGGCAGATGATATCAAAGCCTATTAATCAACTTGGCAGAATTTTGCAAATGCTTACCTTTTTATTTTTTTTCATGACATTCTTTAAGTTCAAAGCTTATGTTGCTCGGTGCAGGTTTGTCGTGTAGATCTGACCTTCAAGAGTATTGTCAATTATTACAAGACTCAACCACAGTGTAAACCTCATGTTGTCAAAAACATCTTTGTCGCTGTGCCATCAGCAAATCGAAATGGGGTAAAATACTTTTGCTAGTCCAACTAACTTAATTTCTTATTAAGTTTCTAATCTGATGCCAGCTGCAAACAGAGAATGGTCCAGGAATATGTGAATATTATTACTTTCTACAATCAAATATTTATTCCATCTGTAAAGCCTTTGTTGGTGGAGCTAGTCCCAGCCGGAGTTGCTGCAGAAGATAAGAATCATGCTGACAGTATGTTGCCTGTTGTTACCCTCTGATTGTTGGATGGTGATTTCTGAAACTTTTACTGATGAATCTGATTTTTGCGTGCGTGTTATGCCAAACAGGTCAAGTTCCTGGGTCACCTAAGTTGTCCTCATTCCCAAATCTTCCTGATATGTCACCAAAGAAAGTTTCTGCTGCTCATAATGTCTATGTTTCTCCCTTACGACAAACAAAGGTGTGTCTTCATGCTCGACTATGTAATTCTGTTTGATGGAATTGGGAACTGTTTTTCAGAATACATGCAACATAATGCCTTCTCTATTCTTTGGAATCATTTTGTTGCCGATGATCCTCTATGTTGAAGGATTAGGATCCGTAAAACTGAAATGAGGTGAATAGATGATGAGAAATGAGAACCATAGTGCATATGTATGATGCAATTTTTCAGTTATGTGTATGTTCCCTTAGGCTGTTTTTAGACACCTAATCAGTATTTTATTGAGAAAAAAATAAGATGTAGCATTTTACCAATGAACTTTGGACAAACTTTCATAATAATTTTATCAAACTTCTCAGATCAAACTGCTTTAATCATCGTGTTTAAACTCTGAAGAAGCACTGGTCATGAACTTATGCACAACCCAGAGATCATTCAGAACATTGTATGGATTAAATTTAATTTTCTTATAGAAATGCTTGGATGACCCTAAAAATTATATTTTGGTTATTTATTAGTCTACTAGACATATTTTGTATCATAATAGAGCTTTAATATTTGTTTGTTTTTTTTGGTAATATCTGATTTGAAGTTCATTTAGACTTGCATTGCCAAAACAAAGATTAAGAATGATCTTATTTTAGCTATAGTTCTGCGGATATTGATCAAAATGAATGTGTCCATGTATGATAAGATTTTTCCTATCATCTTTGTGCGTTCTAGCATATTTAGATGCACAGACGTTGAGCTCAATATTAAAGATTAGGAAAATGAAAAAAGAAAAGTGAAACCAGCCATTAGTGTGGTTCAAATCTCACTGTAACAGTTGATAATCAACTGGGATCATTTGAATTGGTGTATATCCATCTTTAACTTTGTATTCTTCAAAATTGTTCATCTTTTCTTTTTTTTCTGATGTTTCTTTATTTCCTTTTGTGTTTTATAGTGTAATTTTACATTTTTGTTAAATTCCAGATAAACTGACATCCTAGATATAGAACTTTGTTGAATGAGATTGTTGGAGCATTAGTTGGCCCTTCTTGAAAAAATCCTTGACCGACAGCTGAGCACATGGCTTGTTTATGGCTGCTTGGTCATTTTTATGGAAACACATACCACACTAATGTCTTATGAGATTCTTCCTACCTTTTTATCATAAATAAATCAAGTACTCACACCTCTGCACACAGTCTTATCAAGTTGATTAATGCTATAGGGATATCTTTGTGGTAGTTACCGGTAGGGTTTATATGGTTTCTTTTACCGGTTATGAGCTTGTTAGTGAGCAACATATTTACTTGTTTTAACAGATGGATGCTTTGATTTCTCCGAGTTCAAGGAGTTTCTATGCGTGCATCGGTGAGAGCACTCATGCTTATCGAAGTCCATCCAGTGACTTAACTGCCATCAACAACCGCCTCAACGGGTATGTATACTGAAACAAAAAACTTGGTCAATTTCGCCTCTCAGGGGATGCTTTGATTTCCCATTGTTACTTGGACTTTTCCAGCGGCGATGGCAGGAATCTTAAGGGCAGAATAAATTTCGACATCGTGAGTGACTCGGTAGTCGCTCGCATTCTCGGGAAGAACAGTTCTGCTTCCTCAGATGCCCGTGCCACTACCAACTTGCCCATGAAGCGTGACGAACCTGACCCCTGAATAGCTCTCTGATACACACATGCCTTTAACTAGCCAATCTATAACCAGTACAATAGTTTAGGTTTTTACCCAGGAGAATCTCAAGTTTGATTCGTGGTTTGTACATGTGCTTACTGATAGGTACATAGAAATATAGAGTTAGCAGCTCGAGTTGTAGAATAACCAACAGAGCTGCTGCATGTCATTCCCCAATTGCTATACACGTCCAAAGTGCGACTTATGTATGTTGAATGACTGATTTAAATTAATAAATTTTTTATTTATTTTCTTAGGTATATAGCTGGCACTTGCTGTGATGGGACCTCTCTAAGTGCACACATGGAGATCTTGTAGTGTGTGTGTGTGTGTGCTACTTATTGGATTTATGGGTGAATGTATCTTACAAATTTATCTAGTCTTGATAACATTCTTCTTTAACTGAGTTTAATTCGGGGTACATGGATCGTTAATATTAAGAAGCAAGGGTGACACTCTTGTAGGTAACAAAGGATGGTTGGTGCAACGAGTGGGCCGGCGATGCTGTATTGACTTCACCTCTAGTCGTCGATGCCGCCGAGGAATGTGGCAGCCACCGCCATAGGTCATCAGCGTTCCGATGGTGGTGCTATCCTCCTTGCAGGTTGATCGGCAACGGACGACGTCACCAGAAAACTTGAGGAGAGAACGAGAAGAAGATGAAGAACGCTTGCAAGCGGTCGATGGCCCGGGCGATGCTGCTGGGAGGTTATAGAAATCTTTAGAGGCCGCGACTTAGATGAGGAGGTAGGGGGAGCATCCTGGCCCGACTAACTGGGCGGAGTGTTGTCGTCCAACATACCTTCATTATGCGATGACGTACAACTTGGATGAGGTGCGAGGGGAGTGCTGTCGCTCAATATATATCTTGATAGTATAGCTATGGATGAATGCCATCGCCCAATGTATCGTCGTTAGGTGATGATAGTATAGCTATGGATGAGGTGCTATGAGAGCATTCGAAATGTCGTCACCCAATGCATCCTCACTAGAAAAAGATAATACGATTTTGGATGAGGGACGAGGAGAATGTTGTCATTCCATGTATCTTGGATAGTACGATTTTGGATGAGGTGCAATGAGATTGTCTAGAGTGCCACCACCGGAATGTATCTTCACTGGGTGATGATAGTGTATGACTTTGGATGGGGTGCGAGCAGAGCGTTTAGAATGCTACCAGCCAACGTCTTTGCTAGATGAAGATACTATTATGATTTTGGAAGAGGTGCGATTAGAGAGCTATCGTCCAATATATCTTCACTGGGTGATGATAGTATGGATATGGATGAGGTGCAAGGAGAGTGTCCAGAATGAAGGAATACGCAAGGATGGATCGATTTTGTTTGTACGGATTCACTTGAATGGATATTCATTTATATTTCATGAAATATACCGAAAACAAACTACTTTGACCATCTTAACCTAGCAAAAGATGTTGGCAAAAAAAAATGTGTGGGTACTAAGATGCTAAATTGGTTTTGTAAGCAAAATTTGTAGGGGTTAAAAGAGTCAGTGCACAACAAAATTTGAGATGGTAATTATTATTATTATTATTATTATTATTATTATTATTATTATTCAACAAATGGAGTAAATTATACAAGATGGTAATGGTGACCAGAAGAGTTTGGTAGGAAGATTAAGTAAAGAGGAACTCATAAGATGTTGCAAGCTTGTGAAGAGCATCAACCAAAGGCATCCAATACACTGTTTTGAGTAAATAATCATAGGGCAGGCAGTCTTACCAAATGATCATGTGGCTGTTCACCTCAAAAGTAGTTTGGGTTCTGAGGAACTCATGAAATTGATCCACAAATATGATCCTATAGCTATGAAATTAACTAGCTAAATTAAGTTCATGCATAACCTCAAGCTGTCAGCTAATCTGCTAAAAGTGTCTACTGAGTTCCTTAATATATTTTGGGACATTTGTGGTGCCCAAAACTATTTCATTAGGAGTATAAATGTGTCTTAATTGCTGGATTGCAACACATTAGATTTGTGATGGCAATTCCAGTCTCTGCAGTAAGCATGAGACTCTTGTTTTCTAAGCTCTGCTGACTGCTGTAATTTCTCACAAGTTGCTCCATCTTCATGTTCTCTTATTTCTTAAGTCTACTCCAATATGAACCCACAAATATCTTCTTCAAACCAAATCAGTTCATTAATTGAGTAAGAACAACTTATTCCAATTGTTCTCGATGGTCTCCAGTGAGACAATTGATGCACACATTTATATTCCATACAAGGCTGAGTGAGAATATTGTTTGCTGCAAAGGAAAACTCATAGCAAATCAATTCACTGCCATCAAGATGGACTTGGAAAGAGCACAAACATACAAGATTTCCTAACAAAGAAGCTTGTCATAGCTCCTCTCCACTGCCTTCTTACATAGGGAAAAGAAATCAAAAGGAAGCTACTGCACAACATCAGTTGAACCTATACTGAAACATAGGTTGACCACCACACCCCTTCTAAGAAACCTACCACTGGAAAAAACAAATCCAGGATCGAGGAAGATAAGTTGAGTTAGGCGTCCATAGTTTACATGAGAAGGATATGAGAAGAGAACAACAATATCCATTTTTCTTATGCACATTTGACTAAGATGCCTGAGGGCATGTGATTGCATTGATCATGAACAAACAGTTTACCTCTTGCAACCCATGCTCATCAGCATATTTAAATCTGAGATGGAACAGTACTCCAACATGGAACCTTGTCCTCGTTCTCTGCTCTTGCCTGTATGATGCCAATCTTCTTGTGTAGCACATGACTGAAATAAATGAAAGATGAAGCATATTGACAAAAAGAAGGGACTTGAAGACCCACCACATCATAGCCATACTTTTTTTAGTACAATATATCTTACCTGCTTTAAGGTACTTAAATATATATCTTCTTAGAGAATATAAGAGAGTTGATAACTCTAACCACTGCTGCATCCTATCAAACAGCAAGATGTGTTCATCATCTCATAGTTTAATGACTGAATAAAAGAATTTACACCCAACACCCAAACAAAACCAAGTTCAACAAAGTTATCGACCAAACACCACATCCAGAGAACAAGGATAACAGCCACAACTAAACAAGATACTTTCACCACATCTATGACACTTCTACCATGTACCTCCAACCAAACAACACAATTTGGTAGCATGGATATCTGGATGACCAAACTCTGCACGTAAACTGGCATGGATTCTCAAGCACAGCCATTGGGGCAATCAAAGATTTGAGGGATAGACCTAAAACAACTTGAAGCAATGCATTTGATTGAGACTCCACACAGCAAACACTTCACTAGGTGACGATGGTAGGAAGTTGAATGCTGGACAACCTCATCAAAATGTGGCATGTTTAGTGTGGCAAGGAACCATCAGCACAGTGCTATGGCGTTAGGCTTCACAATCCAGAGGCTTGATGACTCAGATAACTCAGGAACAGTAGATACAGGTTTTCCTGTCAGAAGATTTTTGAATGAATTCAGAGCTTCACGCATCCAATCGTATCGACAACGTTTATAGGCTTCTGCCAAATGAACCTTTTTTTTTTTTGAGAAAAATGATGTTAGCAAAAAAAAGTTTGGAGTTCATCATTCGATCAGTAACAAATTGAGAGTAGTAGAATTAGATACCCATTTCCTCTCATGACAGTCCTTCTCTGGATAGCATTCTAACTCCTCAGTGACCTCCAAGGCAAACATGTAACCTCTACAAGCTCCTTCTAGGCTACAGGTATCCTGTGTGCTCTTGCTTCTAAACTCCCAAACACCTAGGACAGTATCCTAGAAAGTGAAAGACCAATGATCACCACATAATAATTTCAAATGGTCGAAACATTTCATATAAAGTATCAAGAAGGATGCCCATGGATGATTATTAAGATCGAGGACACAAAAATTTCAGCCTAAGTATGCTCTGTCCTTAAAAAAAAATGCTATCTTCAAGTCGATTGGCACACTTAAGACTCCTTTGAGTAAACCTTGGCACACAAAAGGTTTACTCTTTGTCAATGATGCTAACTAAAATACTGCTTAAATAAGTGAACATAAGGTTATCAAAACCAGGTTACCGTAGCACTTCAAAAAATTGTAAGTAACTTGCTTGAGTAGTCAGAGCCTCGTCACTGAAAAATCGAGATTGCAGAAGTTGGACAAACAAGAAATACATCACATGCACAGTAGTTAGACAAGGCTACAAAATAATGAAATCTCTTTGACTTGAGGATTCAAAAGGATTACATGAGTAAAATATTGTCCATGATGAAAATAATGAACATATAAGATATGAGAAATATGAGACTGTCAGTCATGTTAAAACTTTTCTGCAGCAAAAACATGGCGTTTGGATGAGAACAGAATCCTACTACTGAGAAGTAAAGAGCAGTTTGATGGAGAAGCATAAATGAAGGTGCAGGATAACTGGATTTTTCCACAGATACAAAACAATCAAATTATACTGTCTTGCAATCATCCACAAAGGACCCAAGTCTCTCTTGCAAAGTAATTAAACTGTCGCACGATTAGTAATCGAATTATAACAGTTGGGAAACAGAAGTGAATTTTTCTTCGGAAAAAGGTTGGAGAAATTGAAAGTTAGATCAGCCAATCATAGCTCAATAAGCAAAAAATTTTGATACTCAAATACTCACATTCAAAATGCCCCTTACTCCTGCTTCTTCCAAAGCTTCACGGCACGCTGCTTCACCTGCAGTCTCATCAGTCTCCCATCCACCCTGTCACAGCAGATATATAGTTCAGAGAAGGAACCTTCAAACCAACATAACTATACTTTCCGAGCTGAGATCCAAAGAGAAAGGGGATTTCTTACCTTCGGGAAGATGAGATCATATCGACCTGGAGAAGATATCATGAGGACTTCCACTCTATCAAGCAAATCATCAGATTGAGTATCATCTTCTCTATTTAGCTTGTAAGGAATACATCTGCTCAGACCAAAACAACATGGATAAATTAAGCACTGATTCACTGGATACAATTACATAGTTCATGCTATTTTAGCATCTAGGAATTATAGACCAGTGAATGGTGTAACACCTTGACATAGTTTATGCTCCTTACACAGTTCAGATCATGCAGAATCCACACCGAGTAACATAGAAGTGAAATCATTGATGACTTATAGCACAACTTAGCATTAGGAACCGTAAGTCTTTACACATTATTTGTTGTTGCTTGGATGAAAGTTAGCCATACACAACATTGGTGGAGATTGTTGATGTTGCACAGTGACA